TGTTGCCCTTGCCCCCCCTCCCCCCTCATTTTGTTTTTAAAAGACAAAGCCTTGCTCTGTTGCCCAAGCTTAAGTGCAGTGGCATCATCATAGCTCACAGCAACCTCAAATTCCCAGGCTCAAGTGATCCTCCTGCCTCAGCCTTCTCAGTAACTAGGACTACTGGTGTGTGCCACCATGCCTAGCTAATATGTTTTTAATTTTTTTTTTTTTTTTATAGAGACAAGATCTCTCTATGTTGTCCAGGCTGGTCTCAAACTCCTGGGCTCAAGTGATCCTCCCGCCTGATTCTTCCAAAGTGCTGGGATTACAGGCGTAAGCCACTGCACCCGGCTTGTTCTTTGTTTTAGAGGAGTTTCATCTGGTTACCTGTCAAATAACCTGGGTGTTTTATTGGAAATGGTAGAGAGTATACTGAGTGATTAGGAGAACAAATGGAACTTGTCCTTACGGAACATCTGTTCTTTTGAGACATTGCTGTGCTTTTCAAGTGTTTAAGTCAATAGACTATTACAATAGCGTTGTTGTGGGTGCATAGTATTTTGTTAGTAAATACTACATTTAGGTTGTGCTTGACTTAAGGGATAAGGGGGAGAACTGAAACTATTCCACCTTTTATTAGAACAGTGTACTGAGGAATGGTTGTAGCCACAGGAAGTCGTCTTTCCTTCCAGCTTTAATGAAGTTTGAGGAACCCTTTCATCCCTCAGTTAACTCCTCCAGTTTCCAAGCATCTCCATGCCTATCTTGCTCTACTCTACTACCACTGCTTACTGTTGCCCTAGGACTGATTCAGGACATCTTTGTGGCTGTAAAAGAGGAACAAGTTGGGGAGACTAAGTCCTAAGGCCATTTCTTCCTCACTTATCTGATCCTTCACAGTGCGGGTTGCCCCAGCAGTATTCTTAGCGACCCTTCCCGCACTTTACTCAGCCCCCCAGCCCCTCCACCCACAGCAGCCGAGGCTGGTGCTTCAGGGGTTTGTTGTGGCAAAAGGCAGGGACCATCTCTCCCAGTAGCAGCTAGTTAGGAGTCACTGGTGCTGGTGCAGTAGGAAGTCGTAGAGAGCTGTTCTGGGCTTGTTACTTATGGATGTCACACTTTTTAAAGAGAAAGTGATGCATTCAATATTTGTGTTTTCCCTCTTTGGCTAATTAATGATGTATTGTAGACTAAGTTACCTTATCTCTGTTCCCAAATATAATTTCTGTGTTAATGTCCTGAAAACATCCTCACAAGTCTTAATTCTACCAGTGATGGGGTATTCAGAGGCAAATGAAGGATTCCAACTGGACTTGTACCAGGCCATGATCATTACAATATGAATCTTACCGATTTTGATGCTATGCATCTGACAGCTCAACAGAAACAAACGTGGCCGCTGTGCTGGGTCAGGCTATCTCATAACCCCTTCAGTTAGAGACCTGCCTAAGGAGCTCACAGATAAAATAACTGCTGCCTCTCTGGATGGTAGAGTCTAGTAAGGCAATGGAACGGGATTCTCCAACCTGACAATGGCTTGATTTCTGCTTTTTGACTTCTTTTGAATTCCTTTATCACTCTTCTAGTGATCATTGACATAGATAGATTCCTGTATTTGTTATTGTTATTAGAGCAAGCAAGTTCCAGTTTTGGAATGTACCGTGTACCCTTGATTCTTCTTTGACTGTTATAAGCTTTCTTTCTTTCTCTTTCACCTGGGATATTTTTTTTCTTTTTTCTGCTCCTTCTATTCTCTTAGAAACTTTTCCCTTCATTTGCTATGTTATTCTGGTAGCAACGCACAGTGGCTAGGAGGATAAGAGTCAGAAGGCCTGGATTCAGATCCCCACTCTGCTGTTTACCATCTGTATAACCTTGAACACGTTATCTACTCTCTCTGTTAGCCTTGATTTTCTAATCTGTAAAGCGGGGATGTAATAGTACCTGCCTCTAGGAATATTGTGACACTTAAGTGAGATGATTCATGAGTTGCTCACAAAAGAGTGCCTGACACTCAATAAATGTTAACCCTTAGTATTAATTTTAATATTACTACCAATATTAAAAATAACTTCATGGCTTAAGGTGTTACCTCAGCATAATTAATGATCACATATTTACCTATAGCTATGATATCTCTCCCACATTTTAGCCTGCATTTGTGGTTGCCTTTGGGTCATTTCTACCAAGATTTTCATGGGCACCTCAAATGCAACGTGGCCAAAGCTAGAGTCGTTATCTCTTACCAAACTCACTTCATTTTGTTCTCCCCACATTTCTGTTAATGATATCATAGTTTTCTCAGTCTCTTAATTTAGGATTAATCTTAGACACTTTCCTTGGCTTAAAGTGATAATTGTGAATGTACATGGATTTAGTACAAAGCTATTCATTGTTTATAATTTTAGGCAGTCAAGAATAAGGGATTGGTTAACTCATTAACTGCCATGTGAGTTGTATTTAACTCACGCTAGTTTTGAGCCTGGGGCCTTGTGAAGCTTATGTAACTTACACATCTCCTTACCTTGGGACCTGCATGAACTGTTTTTCAAGTTGCATATAACTCACACACAGAAAAAAGTAAAAAATAACAAATTTTTCATTAAATTAGAAAGAATCGTTTGTTTTTGAAGTTTTTATTCTATTTTCTTAATAAAATACCATGGCCCCAAGAAAAAAATTTTTTTTCCTAGTGTAGCAGTCAATGTGTTAAATAACTTTTATATTTATTTAATGGAATTCTCTATAACTATTAAAATTATATAGAAGAATATTCAATAGCATGAAAAGAGATATTGCTGGCAAGTTAGGTTAATATGATATATATAGTGTGACTCTATTCTGATGTTTAGAAGTTCATGGATACATAAAAAAAGATTAGAAAGATAACCACTGAAAAATTTTTGTAGTTTTTGTGGCTTATAGGATTATAGCTGATTTTCATATTTTACTTTTTTCCTTATAAATTTTCTAAAATCATCCATATATTACTTCCATATAAGGAAAAAAACTCCTTAAATTTAGATAGAAAAAGGATAGGTAATGTCTAAGTCTTCCAAATAATATACTTTATTGACCTTTTAAGAATGGTCAAGAACAGTCCTGGATATGTAGTAGACACTCAATAAATATTTGTTGATATTGAATGAAATAATGTTATCTTTCTATACATTTTTAGAAATAACTTTTTAAAGGTAAAAGTGCTTAATGCCTCAAGCCTTTAGTTTGTAGAATTCTTTGAAAAGTATTCTTTTTTGTTGAAAGAAAGTTTCTCCATAAGCACAAAATAAACCAGACTGGGTGTGGTGGATGATTCCTAATACTATATAACTTATCATTTCAGAGGATAACGTGACCAAAAGGGGAGCATTTGGAATTGATTCTTCAGAAAACATTACTCATAAAAATGAACCAAATGACCACCATCTTAGAAATGAAACCATCTTTCTTCGTACCTCATCACAATGTTCAGAAGAAGAACAGGTAATACCATAGCACATTTATAGAAACAGTCTGAGGAAAAAAGCATTCTTCTTGAATTAAAAAAACAGAGACTGTAAGAAACATTAGACAGTTATTGGAACTGTAACTCCTAATTCTAGAAGGAGTTCCATTGGGGTACTTTATTGAAAATCAGCATTATATTTCATGATTTTAGCAGCTGTTGTTTATGATATAACTAGTTATCCCCAATTTTCATTAAAAAGCTCTTAAGGATCTGCCATCTATAAATTCTTGAAATTATTTATATCTTTTAGCTTCTGTTTGGGATGAAAGAGTTCCTTTTCATAATTCTTTGTGTAAAATGGGACATTCTTTCACCTGTCCTAGATTCATCTCTTTCAAACTTAAAAGTTTCTGTTATCTTGGTTTTTCCAAGATTTGGTCAATAAATGTTGGATGTTCTTTTTCAAATCTTCAAGACTTTATAGACTCTATTCACATTCTCCTCAGGTAAGTTTTTTAATTATCAAAGAATCACAGGTGAAGCTCTTCTACTTTTTAAGCCAGTTGAGTTTGTAATTTCTGCCTCATGTTGTCTTTCCTGTGATATTGTGGACAGAATTATGTAAGAGATTGTGGTTTTATACAGGGAATAAAAATCTCTGTGTTTGAAATGTGTTTATATATAGCACATGCCTATAATTCTTTATTTCCAGAACTCGCTTCCAGTGAGATTATTGTGAATTTTTTTTTTTTCCTGGAGGATTCACTTTTTACTGGCCATTATTGGCCATTGAAATTATATCATCTATCGAGTCTTTGACCAGCATGTGAGAGGCGAAAAATTGTTGACTGGTATTGTTTTCTGATAACTTGAAAATGTTGTATTAGCATTCTCTGATTTGTCCCTCAGAGGTTCAGTGGGATGGGATAGGAGGTGGAGAATGTTCCTATTTTACACATGAGAAGGCTGGGGTTAAGTAATCTACTCTAGGTTATGCTGTGGATGAGTCCAGAGGAAGAAGTCAAAGTCAGAGCTCCTGAAACCTACTCCATGACCACTGCTATGGCTTAGTGAATTTGGTCTATCATGCGTAGCTAATTAACAAAAACTGGAAAGGGAGTTTTATCACCTGAAAGGCTACAAGATCAGCTCCTTTATTTTATGTTGTTTCATTTTTCCACCAATGTGTCCTCCCTGTATTTTCAGATAGTGATGGATGAAGGCCAAAAAGTTGGCAGTTCCTTTCAAGGTGATCTGAATCGGGCAGGAAAGGTGAAGGTAAGGCATGATTCAATTTTCTTTTGGGGCAAAAAACACAAAAAATAAACAAACAAAAAACACAGGACTCATTTGCTGTCCCTTATATAAAGTTGGAGACTTTACCAGATTTTGTCCTTACATGTTTTTCTTTTTTTTTAAGTTGGTGTTTGACTATCTTAAATCATCCTTGGTTGGCTGGGCTCTGGATCTCTTTTTCTTAAAGCTGAATTATGGAAGGAGTGCTTTGATATAGAATAATGACTACAGTCCCCTTAAGCATCACCATTAAGAAAAATGACAATATAAAATAACGGATTCCCAAATTTTAGAACTGAAACCATCATATGGAAGATAAATTTTTGCTGTCACTTGGATTCCAAGTAATAACCACAGTTATGTACTTATAAGCAATGGAAATACCATTTTAAATTCCTGTGTAATAGCATGGTCCAGCAAGTAGAGCTGAGGAAAGAAAGACCCAGCCTCTCTCTTGAATTCCAACTATGAAATCTAAATTTGTAATTTTAAGGTATTTTGTTACGCATGCGTTTAGGTCATGAGCATAAAAGGCATTGCAACCTTATACCTTTAGTAGGTCTCATTCATGCCAGTGGTGAGATCATTTTCTTATTTACACTCTTTGATATTCCCTTGAGATGAATTAGTTCATGTCTGAAATGTTACCATTTTGTTAATCTGAAATGTCTCATTGTCAGCTTGCAGTGGAAAGCAGTAGTCCATGTGGAATAGTTTTTCATTGAAATGCTGCTATTGTGTCTGTAAAGGTCATTTGCTCTGCTTTTTACCTTTGAAATAATTTTCAGTTTTATTTGCTTGAAAGAGAGAACACTTGATTTTTTGTCCTGCTCACCTCTGTTGTGATTTTGTTTTGAATGGACCTTTCTCTCTGGCTTTCTTTAGTTTCTTCTGTCTGGCTCTTCAGAGTGCTATAAGAAAGCACGTTGTTACAATAATAGCCAGACCCACTACCACCACCATTTACCTGACAGGCAAAAGCAATAAAGTGAAAACAAAACCCAGAAACAGTGTTTTGGACTGTCATGATGGTGGTATATATTCTGGGATAGCATGTGGAACAAAGCCCCTTTCAAAAATTCCCAGAGTGTTTGTTCCCTTTCAGTGTAGAGGTCTGATTATGGTGCTTTCAAAATCCAGGCCAATTGCCAAATTAACTGCTTCTTTCAGATGTCTCTGGGAAAGCACAGTGAACACAAAGGCCTTGAGCTGGGACTCAGGAGTTATTGAGAAAAGTGGATCTTGCTGCTCAGTTGAGTGTTGTGGAAATGGATTCATTGCATTTTTTTCCTTAATTCTAATATGCAAAAAATGTTTTTAATCCTTTTCCAGGTAGACAATTTTCTAGATCTAGAAGATTTGGACGTGGATGAAGAGATTAAGCCCCAAATGAGCAAGGGTACGTTTTCATTTTCCTTTCCATACTGCTTGACCTCTTTCTAGAAACTACAAATAAGGCTTTAGACAGCTTTCCTTTTTATGGCAATCCTTACCTCCACCTCTCCAGGGACAGAAAAAACTGAAGTTGTGAGCTTTCTTTTTTACTAACAAAGATTTCAGCTGAAAGGTCAAAGCCTCTTGAAGATTGTGAAACCTTTGGACTTAAATAAGTCCTCCCTAAAATTTACCACAGGATTGATTCTTGGATAATTGCCTCAAATAGAGCCATTGTAAAGTCAACTTCTTATTTCCTAGAAACTCAGTCTTATGAATCGAGGTTATTTTCGAGGGACACATAAAATATCAGTCGATCATAAAAAATCGTAAGAATATCATAATTGATCACAAACATAAAAAAGAAAATACGAATTTTTGCTTTTAAAACATTTATTAAATATGTAAATTAAACCTGTTAATACTGAAGATATGTTGTCCATGTTTCTTCTGGGACATTTTTCCACATGGGCTGAACTGGAAGAGGCTTAATGCTAGTCCATTGAGGTTTATATAGAAGACAACTTTTTTCCTTTCTTGGTTAACATTTCTGTGTAAGTATAGTTCCTTTCTTGCTCGAAGGACCTTTGAAATATGTTCAAAATTAGGATTTTTTTTCTTTTTTTAAAAAACTCATTCCTGATTTAATACGTAAGATCTCAAAGTCAGTGTTAAATTTTAAAACAGGGGCAGCTTCCAAGGGGGTTTGGGTTGTTGATGTTTAACTATTGTTTACAGTCTTTAGGTAGTCATAAACATGAATTGTGATCATTATTGTTGGGGAAGGATGGCTTATTTATAATCAGACAGAAATTAAAGTGACTGGGTATAGTTGTTTTGGAGATGATGACAATCTGTACATTGGTTGTATAAGCCCCTGCTCTAGCTCTTTGGCTGCTTGAGTTTGAGATGCTTTCGTAATTGGAAGCATTTTTATTCTGCTTCCAAACATTACACTACTCCATGAAAGGATTGCTTCTCAAGCACACTATTAACCAGTAGACTTTGCAGATTCTTTAGTTACTTATTTGGTTTAAGTGAGATCAGTGTTCTAAAGGAATCACATCCTCCAGGGAGAGGTTCTCTAACTTTAATATCCTAAGTGGCCCTAAATTTCTGTAATAAAAGGAGCCCAGGGGCTCTAGTTGGATTAGAAGGAAGAGCTAAGGACTTGTCAGGAAGCTGCATTTGTAAAGCAAGCACACTGTCTTGGATTTTGGGTGATTTGGGGAGGGAAGCTTCTTAAAAATGCAGTTTCCTGGTTCCTGCTCCCAAGAGAGAATCTAATTCAGAAGATTTGGTGGCATCTAGTGATCTGCATTTTAACCAATACCCCAGGCGATTCTGATACGTTCATTTGAGGATGACCTGTGGAGACAAATGGTTTTAGTCTGCATGTACATATTTGTCATATAAAATCAATTTTATAAGAGGGAGCACTTGTATTGGATACAAAGGCACTTGTATTGGACATTTTTGTGATGGTTTAAATTTCTCGCTTCTTGCCAGTAATGAGAAGGTTTGTATACTGACATAAAGCGACACAGCCAACAAATATGATTTTTGTTATATCCGTCTTTTAAGTTAGCCTTTTTACCTTTTCCATTATTTTCACATTGCTTTCTTTAAATATTTTTTCAAGTTACATTTTTTTCATTACCAGGTTTATTTTTTTATGTTAAAAATTGAATAAAAACTTCTCACTGATATGATTTTTCCAGAAATCAGGTAACAGGCAGTCTTGCATTTATATATTAAAAATTGCTAAGACTGAACCAAGTCTCAGTGGACTTGGATGAACTAGTCAAGACTTTTCCACATGTAAAGTAATGTGCAAAGCCTAGGCTGAAAATCGACCCAGGCTTCACTGATGTATTCTAATTACCGAAAAGGTCACCAGGGCTTCACAATTTTCATAATGCACAATCTGGGTCACTTGAAAGGAAAAAAGAAATTAAATAGTTTGTGCCAAGGTGAATTTTAGTTTGGGCCTAATTTGTATTACACTTCAGGAATGTAAGCAGAAGGCAAATATTTATATCAGATGGGAAATGTGACATTTTAAATAGTCAAGTTGCTTGTATAATTTTGGCAGCTGGAAGGTTTACTGATTAGATTCTGTTGTTATTGTTTAAGCAACACATTTGCCTGGAGCAACAAGAAAGTGGGTTGCATATTGTTTTTCTACCATTGACTTTATTTGTTCCCCTTATTCAGTCTCATAAATATTCTCCAAGATTCAGGAGCATAATTTTTTCCCAATATTTGGTTTATCGTTTGGGCAGCCCAGGTGGAAAGAGTGGAGGCTGTTTTTCAGTGAAGCCAACTCTGCCCAGTGGTATCGAGCAGTTGTCTGAGGGTAACATTTGCCACAGAGTTTGGTGCGCTGTGTTTATTTGACATTAAGTTAACTACTTTTTCCTCCTTTGAATTTGAGATAAGGCAGTTAACCTGGTGACTGTTGTGCCTCAGACAAGCTGACACAAACTGTTATCCAGCAAAATTATCATTCGGAATAGCTATTAGTTGTTATGCTGAGGCCATTAGGAAGAATCTTCTGTTCAATCTTTATTTTTTTGCCTCATCAGTTGGCCCAGCCTCTTCTCTGGCAGAGTGCGATTGGCTAAAGAGACCATTTTTTTTGAGGTCTTGTTAATCATACTGTCTTGCACAAGTCTCTTGGCCACTGGGTGCACTTAGTGGCTGATTGTGTTGAATGAGAATGGGCACTGATTCCTGCTCAAAGATTGGCAGCCTTGTTTGATTTTTATTTTCAAGTTCTCCAGTATTATACTTCTAGTCATTTTTAGTCAATTAATGGACTAGTAAAAATGAGGGCGTCTGTCCTTTTTTTTTTTTTAAATTCTTTCCTCATCTGCAACTTGAAGCAGTTTTAGGCAGCCTCTAAATGACCACAGACTCTTACTCAACAAATATTTAACAACCATGGCTGGTTAGTGCCTGGAATATAATGAAGAATAAAACAGACCAGGTTTCTACCCTCGTACAATTCATAATTTATCCAAAGAATCAGAGATTAATCATATAATCACAAATATATGATTACAGGTTTTTCTAGATCTCAGGAGAACATATGGCAGGGGGACTTAAATTTGTCTGGGGGATCAGAGAAAGCTGAGAGCCTGGGATCTAAAGGGTGAGTAACCATTAAGTAGATGAGGGGTGGGGTGGGGTGAGGAGCAGATGGGAGAGTGTAGGAACAGTGTGTGTAAGGGTCCTGAGCTAGGAAAAAATGACGCATTTCAGCTAACTTATAGTTTAGACATTTCATTTATTTTACACTTAGGACTGTTACAAATAATTCTTTCCTTGTCTCAGTGATCACTAAAAACATTGAAAGGGAAGAAAACCCTTGCTTCAAAATATTCCTGTATTCCCACTCCTATAATTTTTATATGTGCAAACATACTCATCTATTAAGGGCCAGCTGAAAGTGATGTTTACCACAGAAACAGACGTGCTTCCCAGTACTATGATTGAATGAGGAAACTTCCATTTCGTTCTCAAGATGAGAACAGAATTGGGAAGACAGTTCTGCCCTTTCATCATCTCTTTGCCTGTTCTCCCCAAGGGAAAAGGAAGGCGTCATTTAATTGAAGAGATTGGAAAAAGAAACTAAGTGTATATGGACCATCCTCTCTGTTTCTTCTTTTGGATTCAGCTATTTGGCAGTTGAGTGCTTTCTCTTTGTGCCTGTACCTCCTTTTTTTTCAGCAGACACACTTTAGACAGGGCCCAGGCCTGCCTTATGCTGTAGTTTTCAACTTTAGGGAAACACTGGAATTATCTGAGGAGTTTTAAAAAAATACCGATGCCCTATTCTCCTTTGGAAATTCTGTTTTAATGGTCCGATGTGTGTGTCCTGGGTATCGGCAGTTTTAAAAACTCTCCAAGTGATTCTAACGTGCAATTTACAGATGAAAATCATCTTTAGAAGGAAGTCTGGAGATGTTACTGTCTGAGTCCCTGCTCTAAGGGCTCCAGGAACGTGAAACCCTGCATAGGTAAATGTCAGCTGTGCAGACTCTCTTAGTGGGATAGCCCAGTGTCTAGCCTTGGAGAGAAAGCCTGCCAAATAGGAAGCGCAATTGTGACTGTGGGACGAGCCCCGTTTTCAAACTCACCCCTGCCAGTTATGAAGCTTATATTTTGATTCTAATCTTTCTGACTCATATACGTTTCTCTTTTAGTTTTGTGCTAGGAGAATAGAGGTATATGATTTATTATTGCTGTCAAATGCCCCATCCATGAAGTAAGTCTTCCCTGATCTTCTCCCGCTTCTGCTTAGATGGGCAGTCATCTTTTTTGCTTTTGCACTTCTGCTTTTATTTATTCTGTATTTTTTTCTCAAAGTAGTTTTTGGTTAATGTGTCTCTTGTAAGCCGCATATGGCTTTTATATATGCATTTATAGAAATACACACACATTCTAAAATCTTTGTCTTTAATTGGAATGTCAGTCCATTTACATTTAATGTAGTTGCTGACATATTTGGCTTTAAATGTATTATTTTACTATTTTGTTTTCTACTTTTCCTGACAGTTCTATGTTCTTTTTTCTCTCGTTTCTTGCTGATTTTGCATTAATCAAGTGTTATTATTTCATTGCCCCTTATTTTTGCTAGTTTTGTAATTATTTTCTTTCAGCATTTTACAGGTACTATTACATTCTTTTCTGTTTATCATTGGAAGCTCTTAAAAATCACATATCAATCAGATCATTATTCCTTTGATGATATGTTTTTCTCCCTCATTTGGCTGCTTTTAAGATTTTTTACCTCTGTCTTTTTCAGTAATTTCACTATGATATGCCTTGGTTTTGTTTTGTTTGTATTTATTTTGCTTGGGGTTTGTAGGGATTTTTCAGGTGTTATCTCTTCAAATATTACCTGTGCTCAGATCTTTTCACCATGCCTCATATCGCTTTTGCTCTTTTCTATATTTT